CCTTGGCCTCCAGCCTGCGTAGGTTCCTGTCATCCCCTCAGTCCAGGTCCCTAGTACACACACTTAGCATCTCAGGTCCTTGCTAATGTAGACGCAAAAACCTCCCTTTCCTATGTATGCACTTCCTTTTTTGTCTTTACTATGTTGTTGTTGTTTGTTGTTGTTATGTGCCATCGAGTCGTTTGTGACTCATAGCGACCCTATGCACAACAGCTCTAAACCCTGCTCTATCCTGTGCTGATCGCATTGTCTCTGACACACCCATCTCGACTACCCCAGTCACTGAATGAATCCACCTCATAGAGTGTCTTCCCCTCCTGCGCTGTCCCTCCACCCTCCCAAGCATGATGTCCCTCTCCAAGGACCCGTCCCTCCTGGCAACATGTCCAAATATGTCAGACAAAGCCCCAGAATCCTTGCCTCCAAGGAGTAGCTTGGTTTAATCCTCTCCAAGATGAATCTGTTTGTTTTCCTGGCAGTCCATGGTACATTCAGTACTCTTCTCCAGCATGTACTTTAGCTTAAAAATGTACTTTAGCTTAAAAAGCCAATTAATAAAAATGGTATCTGAGAAAAAAAAATCATTTCTTTAGGTGACTACTTGATTGGAGACAATTGTTTAAGGCCCCAGCAGCTCCCTTTTCAGATAGCCAGGGGTCATCTGATTTGTTTACCGTGCTTGTGGTAACCAGTCTTCAGTGATCCTCCCTTGAGGTGAAGTATGGAGCATGGCCACGCCAGGAGGACTGCCTGGTCTGTTGTGAGGTTCAAGCTCAAGTGAGAGCTCAGGTTTGTCTGTAGACTCTTACCTTGTCTATGTACACGATAGTTTATGGGTTGAGTGCTAGTTATCAGAAATTGTGTAGAAATAAATTATATTTAGCATTTGATAGTTGTAATACAAATGAAAAGGAAAACGAATATCACTAATCTAGTCAGTAGGAATTGATCTCATCCGGGAGCCCATACCTTTGGGAAGCCAGTTAAAGATACCAAGGAAAGGAGAGTCAATTGGGCCGATATACAGAGCTATGTACCCATTCTGCAGATTTGTGTACAGATCTTGTTTTGCTTCACTGGAGGTATGAGTTTATATGAAGCAAAAGTAAGCTTTGAACCAAAACAACATCTAAGGCTATTATGTTACCAAATATATCTATGATAGCCTAGTGGATAGAGAGTTGTGTTGCCAACCTCAAGTTAGGAAGTTCTAATCTACCAGCTGCCCCAGGTGAAAAAGATGGGCAGTTTCTTCCTATGCATTTACCATCATTGAAAATCTACTAGAGAGTTAGTTATGAGTTGGTTCTGACTTGACAGCAATCAATTGAGTTGGGTAGAATACAGCCGTGGCAAAGGAATGGAAAGATTTTTCTTGATTGACAATGCCACCAGGTATTGTTTTTCTTTTTTTTAATAGTATTACTTGGAATTATTGCAAAGGAAATTATTTTTAGGGAAGTTTAGATTTTAAAAAATATAGTTTTGAAAACCTTAAGGCCATGAACTGATAATATATTATAATTATTTTACCTCTTGTGCCATAGAAATGTTAGGAAGTAAGCATTTTGAAACTCATGTTGGACATAGCAGTTCATCGTATTACATCATTCCTATCTTCAACAATTTATGTAAAATTATTAATGAGGGATAGCAGTGATGTCAGTCTAGATACAAAGGTGTGCCTAATCCAGGCCATGATCATCGCAGTTACTTGTTACGGTTCATATAGAATTGGACAGTGACTAAGGATGACAGAAAGAAGAATCTGTGCTTTTGAATTGTGGTGGTGGAGAAGAGTCTTGAACACACCATGGACTGCCAAGAAAACAAATAGGTCTGTCCTGGAGAGGAGGAAACCAAGTTTCTCCTTGGAGGCAGGGATTTTGAAGCTCTGTCTCACATACTTTGGGCACGTGGCCAGGAGAGACCTGTCTTTAGAGAAGGGTGTCATGCTTGGAAGGGTGGAGGGACAGCACAGGAGAGGAAGACCCTGGATGAGATGGATTGACACAGTAACTGGGACAATGGGAGTTGGTGTGTGGGAATTAGTGAGACTGCCTCAGGACAGGGCAGGGCCCGGAGCTGCCGTTCATAGAGTTGCTATGGATCTCAGGTGACTCGATGGCACATAACAACAATAACAACAGTTCTGAATGAAAGAAAAACAATTCCGTTGAAAGAAGTCAGGTAAAGCCTGCAGAAGCCTATGGTTCAGCACATTATAGTATGAAATAAACTAAACTACCACATATTAAAGGGGGGAAAGTAGTCTTTTCAGACTGAAATCTCTTAATCCATTCTTTTTGGCCTGAATTGATGTTGTAGCAGCCCTGTATGCCTGAGCAGAACTGCCCCACAGCTTTCCAAGCCGACAGTCTTTATGAGAACAGCCTGCTGAGTCCTGTTCCTGCACAGTGGTGGGGAGGTTCAAACCCGTGACCTTTTCCGCTGCCGTTGAGGCAGACCTGACTTATGGCGACACTTTATCAGCTTTCTCAGGCAATAACTTAATAGAAACTGGAGGATTTGAACTACTCACTTTCAGTTAAGCAGAGCAACACAAAATGCACTACCTCCCCAGAGATTCTCAAACTAATGTTGTTATTATTATGTACCGTTGAGTCACTTGCAACTCATAGCAAGTCTATGTACAATAGCTCTAAACTCTGCTCTATCTTGAGCCAACTTCTTTGTCTCTGACACACCTACTCCCATTACCCCAGTATCTGAGTCAGTCCATCTCATCCAGGATCTTCCTCTCCTGCACTGTCCCTCCACCCTCCCAAGCATGATGGCTCCCTCCAAGGATTGGTTCCTCCTTGCAACATTCCCAAAGTATGTTAGCTGAACCTTCAAAATCCTTGCCTCCATCTATCATCCTTAGTCATGTCCAACTTCCTGAGGCATAGCAAATAACTATGAAGACCATGACCTAGATCAGGCGCACCTTAGTCTCTAGACTGACAATGTTGCTCTCCAGTCCTCTGGAGAAGTCCTTGATCCCTGACAGCAGATTTTCCCAGTGCAATTTGCCTTTTGATTTCCTGGTTGCTGGTACCAGCTATGAGACATAAGTCAGTCTTCACAGGTTGCCCAGTCCCAGATACGAACCAGAAATTATTTTCCCCCATTATAGATTAATTCTTCTAGTATTTAAAAGAGAAGAAAACCTTAATGTTCCAAATCATAGTAGAAATAATCCAGAATGTGCTCTTAGCCAATAACAGCTTCAGTATTTAAATTCCAAGAATTCTGTTTTATTTTTAACTGTGAACCCTTGCATGATTTTAAGATGTGCTTTTAATCCTTATTTCATTTGAATGACTGCTTTTTGGACTATGTACAGATTCAGCATGGGCACAATTAGGTGCTCTGGAATTCTCTTTCTTTACATTTTTATCCATAATTTGCTGTGATCTACACGGCTGAATGTCTTTTTAATAGGTGGTAAAACTCAGGTAAACAGGTTTCTAATTTTCTGTTTTCTTCAGCCAAGACCTACTTGGTGCCAAGGATGATGTATATATTCCTTATTCTTCTTCTGACTCTGACTTGAATCCCCGACTGATCCCTGTCCACGTACCCCTGTAAAGATTCATTTCCAACTTATGTGTGTTCTCTTGTAATCGACAGTTACTCTGAGACAGAACCAACTTGACAACAAGACATTTGAGCTGTTTGAACAATGCGTTTGCGTTGTTTTGAAATAGCAATTTAAGCTCCTTAGAGGTAGAAGTGATTTGTGCCTGACCATTGCCCAAGAGTTTGGTGGCTTGAACGCACCCATCCAGTGGCGCCAAGATGAAAGGCGTGCTTCCATGAATATCACAGCCGAGGTCCTATGAGGCCGTTCTGTTTTGTCACACCTGAGATCACTATTAGTTGGAATCAACTCTGTAGCAATATTTTTTTCCCCTTTAAGTATTCGTTTTATGACTAATCTTTGATTTGTTTTATGACTAATACATATTTGAGTCTTAAAAATACACTTCGCCAGAAGTTACTGAGAACATAAAACCTTTTTGTGTGTGTTGAGCTGTGGCGTCAGAGAAGAGCACTGGACATCCCATGGGCGGCCAAGAGAACGAATAGCAATGTCTCAGGGAGGGGGCAGCCGGAGTGTCCTTTGGAGGCGAGAATGGTGAGGCTTCGTTTGCCTCACATACTTTGGACATGTTACTAGGAGGTGCTATTCCTTAAAAAGGGACATGATGTTGGGAAGGGTGGAGGGTTGGTGGAGGAGAGGAAGACCCTCAACCAGGTGGATTGACAGTGGTGACTGCTGCAATGGGCCATTGTGTGTCAGGAAGTGTGAGGATGGCACAGGACAGGACTGGGTTCAAATCTTTTGTTGATAGAGTTGCTATGAATTGTACTCGACTTGATGGCACCTAACAATAAAATAAATATGTATATGTATGTCTGTATACATATACATGTATATATGTATGTATATGTAGGTATGTATGTATCATGAATCACCAAAGAAATGAAAAAAATGTATACATTTTAATACATTTTTACATTTCCTCTCCCCACTTCAGGGATAAAATAATTAGTATTTTATGTTGTGTTTTGGCATCTTGTTGTGTACCATTGAGTTGGAACCGACCCACAGCTGATACTCCAGCAGGTTTTCAGAAGCAGTGAGTTGCGAATCTTCACAGTAAATTTTTTTAGCATAAATTTTTATTTAATGTGTAAAGCATTGTTACGTGGAATTTGAGAAGCCTTAGCCGCCCCACCCCTTCTGCCAAGCTGCGTTTTGCATTTGATTTAGCAGAGTCACATTCACCTTTGAATTTGAGTAACCTTCCCGGGCTTATATTTGCATTGAATTCATTTTCACATTTGCATCTGCACTTAACTCGTGTTTATATTTAGATATGTTTCTGTTTTGCCCTGTTGTCTTGGTCTCCTTGTGCTTTGAGAATGTGTGTTCGCTTGGAACGCCCACATTAATGGGCTGCTCCATTCTCTGTCTTTTCCATTTGCAGGTGTATTTGTCAAACGTTGCATGAGAAGATCACAATCTTAGTGACTCACCAATTGCAGTACCTAAAAGCTGCAAGCCAGATCCTGATATTGAAAGATGTAAGTAATTTCTAGAATTCTACAGAACTTGCTAGCATTCATGTGTGCTGAATGCAGGGTCTCTCAGCTGGTCCCTCTGTTGGGGCTTCATGATAAACTCTCTCTTCTGCCTTTATTTTACATCTCTGAACTGGTATTTTTGCCTTTGAGGATACATTTGAAAGGCTTAGAGAAATCTCATCATTACATTCTAAACCACGGAACTCTAAGGTAGATAAAATAGCTATCTCCAAACTATAAATTTATAGCCCTAGGAGACATTGTTAATGATAATAAATTTATTAGAACTTGTTTTTTTTTCTTTCCGTGACTTAAGTCATATGCACACTTGTATTCATTTGATTGTCTACCCAGTTTGCTGCCCAGTGAGAATTTTGCATTAATTATAGAAATATGGCTGAATAAGTGAGTAAGTCTGATCCAGGCATCTGTGAGCTGGTACAGCCTGTTATTTAGTCTCTTTCCTTAAGTATCTTTTGAGGGCTTGAAATGTGTGAGAAGCTGTGGTAGATTTACATAACAATAAGACAAAGCGGTAAATAAAACAGAAGCCCTCACTTCCGGTCTTATTTGGAATAGATGCACTCAAGGCAGTAGAGAGATGGGAGTGATATCAGAAAGCCCTCTCTGAGGAGGTGACCCCTCCCAGGGGCCTGAATGGATATATGTTTATGGAAAGAGGCCTGTTAGTCATCTCAGAGAGGAACCTTGGAGGCAAGTGGGCCAGTGGAGCGCAGGGCTGGGCCTGAGGGAGAAATTCATCTCGCTTGTTGGAGGAATGCAGGAAGGCTAGTGTTGCTGGGCCCGAGTGAGCCAGGGAGCTTGTGATGGGCCCAAGAGTGGAGGATAGTAGAACTGGGTGTGTGGTAGAAGCTCTGGGTGGTTCAGAGCAGAGAAGTGACCTGTCGGATTGGTGTTTTCACAGATCATGCTTTCTTTAGGATTGGATGAGAAAAGAAATAAACTCTACAATTAAGTCAGTATCACAGGCTGGTCTTAGTTTCTGTGTCTTCTACAAAGGTTGTACTATATACTCTCACCAGCATCTCACCCTTTTTTTCCCGTAACTGCCTGTGGTTGGTATTTGTGTCAGTGACTTTCATTTTTGACCCATAGTTACCCATGTCTTTTGCATCCCTGAGCTGCGAACACAGTTTGTTAGAGAAAAGAATGCTTACTTAGTATGTGTTGAGGTGAATTTAACTAGATTAGTCAATCAGAATCCCAGTCCTAAGGATAATTTACTTAAGAATATTGTAAATTTTGTCCCTTTATTATTATTATTATTAATTTTAATGAAAATTTACAGAGATTTTGGATTTCCATTCATTCATTGTTGCACTTTTCTCTGTGCCCACTCCTCCCCTCCAGTTCTTTCTTCTCTTTGAAAAGTAAAAGAAAAATTCTTTCATTGTTATACAGTCCCTCCCTCCAAGTCCACTCCACTGTGCAGCCTTCGTTCTGGACTCCTGTCATGACAATAATACCTAGTCATATCTTGTAAAATGGGGCTGACATAGGGGTTGGGGAGGAGACTGAGAACGATGGGATAAATGACGTATACGGCATTGAAATAGATGAGAGAGAAAACTGTTTAAAAGAATATTATCATTAAAGGCCAATTAATTTCTCTTGGCTTATATTGTTAAATTTGATTGGTATTTTCAGAAGTGAAATGTAACCACTTCCAAAGTCTTCATTTTTCATTTTAGGGCAAGGTGGTGCAAAAGGGGACTTACATGGAGTTTCTGAAGTCTGGGGTGGACTTTGGTTCCCTCCTGAAGAAGGAGATCGAGGAACCCGAGCATTCTTCAGCTCCAGGCACTCCCACGCTGAGAAGCAGGACCTTCTCGGAGTCTTCCGTCTGGTCTCAGCAGTCCTCACGGCCCTCCCTGAAAGACGGTGTTCAGGAAGCTCAAACTGTGAGTCTCTCCTAATCGTCGAGCGCGTACAAGGGGTGTCTGTCTGACTGTTGTCGGTCTTCTGGACTGTCTGTCAGCTCAGCTCATGACTTCCCTTTGTCCCAGAGCCAATCCAGTGACTCATAACCCTTCTTTATCCACTGAAATAAATAGAACTAAAACACAATGAAGAGGAACAAGCTTGATTCCGGTTAGTCTGTGTGTGAGTGGTGGAGACTCCTGTGGAGACCTTTGCTGGGGGTGGAGCTAGAAGTTACTCGGCCTTCGAGGAAGATACAAGGATTCGGTTTAATTCTGATACATCAAGGCATCCTTTCTCTCTCTAAACATGTAACTTGAAGAATCTCGCCTATTAACTCAAGGAACTCTGGTACAGTGGTAATGTGTTCACTTGCTAACTGAAGAATCAGTGGTTCAAATCCACTAATTTCTCCATGGAAGATGTCATGTGTTGGTCTGCTGCAGTCTTTCTGAAAGTGGATTCCCAAGATTTTCTTTTACAAACCTGCTGGATTGGGGTGAACAACCAAACTGAATGCATACCCATTTGGTCCACCAGACCTTTAAAAATATCTAAGGAAAAAACAATGTATACAAACTTTGCAAATAAACCAGCATA